CATTAAATTTAAGAAAACAATAAAGCAACTCAAATTTTTACTAAAGCAGCCCACTTCCCTTGTTTTTAGCCTTGCTCTCTTTGCTCTCGTCTTTTTTCATCCCAATTTCATTCTTATGTTCTCATCATGATCATTTGTTTTTAGTTCTCAACTAAAAACTCCTTTCTAGCTTTTATTGCAATGATGTAGGATCTATGAGCATGGTGTAGCATTTATTGAAAAAATGGAGGCTACAATAAAGATTGGCCAACTCAGTCTACTAAATAATAGTGACAACAATACTTGGCCATAATTACTGATTTTTAATTTTATTGCCACTTTTGATTTTGAACAAGAAAAATCTAACTTAGTATTTTTGAGTTATGTTTCTATCATAATCTAACTATTTTTGTAGCTACTAAATATATAAGTAGCTTAATTTTTATTCTATTATACATTCATAAAAGTTAGTTTAAAAAGATTAGAGTTAATTAAGTCTCTGAATGATGTGTATCATTGCAATGTCTAAGACATAGAAGACCTCATTGTGTTTGAAATCTACACCAATGATACAGTTTATGAAAGTTTCAATAACTTTGGTTTGTACAACATAAATAAGAGTAGTAGTTTCGAGAAGGCTCTTTCAAAAGAATCAAATAGTTTGCCAGATTCTATCAACTTTGAGCATTTAAACTAGTACATATACCAAGCTTCCATTAAAGATTATTATCACAACAAACAAAGAAAATGAGACATGATGGAAAGGAAGAAAAATGACAAATGAAAGAAGTCACCCTCCAAATTAACTTCAAACTTGAAAACACAAGTATCTTTGACTTGTTTTGCAAGAATTACTTACTTTAAAAGCTATAGAAAGAGATGTAATGGAAGTTTTGATCCTTGGACATACTTAACTACATATCTTATAATAACTCACTTTTTGCAAGTTTCTTTGAGCAACTACAAAATTATAATAGATATTATTCAAACATAGACAAAAGCTTAGATCTGAATTATTATTATTCTTTTGCAATGGATGAACTTTACTTTGATACTACTATAAATCTCTTTGTGTATCATCTTCAAATCTAAAAATGGATCTAATCAACACATTAAAATCTTTAACCCAAAGACTCAATATAGCCATTGATTTTGAAAACTAAGAAATTTTATCAAATTAAGACTCAAATTAAACAATAATTACAATTCAATAATAGATTGTGGGCACTAAATATAATTTGCAAAATAAAAATGTTCATGCTAACAGTTTCTTACTTAGAAGGAAAATATTCCAACAACAATAGATAAGAAATCATTTATTTGGCATTGTGATATTTATAATTTGAATTATATGAATGGTCTAATCCAAAGATGCTTATGACTACACTCATGCCTCTTTAGCAAAAAATTGAAGCAACTAGTTAGTTAATATCTCTAAATCAATAGCAGGCAAGCATACAAAGAAAAAAAAAGAGCTCTCAATTAAATGAAGAAAATATAGACATTTTTTTAAAAAAGAATCAAACCTGTAAAATAAGACTCATTTATTAATTAGAATGTGTGTTTTTAAAAGCTAGATATTGTGTCATAGAAGCCCAATCTTTACATGAGATATTAACATTTGTTACTTTGAGAAGTATTCATCTCAAATTTTTGATATTTTTTAAGTGGTGGTAACTTGGTGAGATTGACGCTGCAACATGACAATAGTTTGCTTGCATAGAGGTAAAGTAAGGACTATTACTTCATAGTGTTTCTCATCCACTCTCTCATTCATTTATTTTTTTACTCACACTCATTCACACACTCTTACTCATATATACATAGGCTAAAGAGGGAGGGCCTTTAATCTCCGTATTTTCATTAGATTTTACGGCCAAGCAATGTCTTTACTACTATTTAGTAAAAAGAGCTGTCAATCCTCACCATAGCCTTTGTTTACTTAATAAATGCCACACCAAGCTTGTGGCCCTCTACATTACTATGATGAGAGATGGAAACGGAATTTGTATTAAAAACTAAAAAAAAAAAAATTGAGATGAAAAAGAGGGAATGAAGTCACGATAAAAAAAAAGATAAAAAAAACAAAGGAAGCGAGGCTAGAAATGAAGGAGGTAGGTCATTTTAGTAAAAAATTGAATTTCTTTAATTTTTTCCTAAATTTTTATTTTTTCATAATAAAATGTTGCAAATATAATATGCAAATCTAAATAAGTTTTAGAATTTATGGAATTTATGTAAAATAAATGGATGAAAATAAATAATTAATAATACCATTGCAAGTCTTATTAAAGATTCTACGTAACATAAGGAATATATGAATATATATATATTTTTTTATATGAATTTGATCAAAGATTGAAAAAAATATAAAAGTTAGTCTACAATTAAATTGAATCAGAATATTTGATATCATCAATAAGTTAAAAAGAAGAAAGTATCATTTGAATATATATATATATATATATATATATATATATATATATATATATATATATATATATATATATATATATATTTGGAATTAATATATTCAAAAAAATAAAGATGGTTTTAATTTTTATTTATATTTATAAAGCGAGTATGAATCTAATAATGTCTTTATCATAATAGAAAATACATCTACAATATATATGTAAAATTAATAAGTATTTATAATTAAAATTATATAATAAGATTAAAAAATATAATTTAATCAACCACTATTTTAAAATATTCTTATTCCTTGTTTATTTTGAATATTTGTAAAATTTAAGATTATCAATGACATTATTATTAGCAATTTTTCTAAAAAATATTTTAATTCTTTTTTTAAAAAAATATTCTTTAAAATATTCCTTATATATTTTTTAAAATATTTTATCTTATTAAACTAGGTTGTAGCATTGCTATGTACTAAGAATGTTTTTTTAAATTCTAAGCATGTTATGTTATAATTTTTTATGTTAATTAAATATATATTTGTTTTTAAAAAATACTCTTAAGTTTATTTTGATAAGGTTTCTTCTTATTTTATGATTTTTTATTGATCTATAATATTCATAACATAAATAAGATCTTTATATGTAAAAATATTAAAAAATAGTTAATAATATAAATATATTTTAATTTATATATTAAATATTTTTAAAAAATAGTTAATAATATAAATATATTTTAATTTATATATTAAATATTTTTAAAAAATAGTCTATGAGTATAATTTAAAATAAAATAAGAAAGAATTGCCATCACAATGTTTTTATATTAGAAGCATTTATATATCTAATTGAATAAAAATAATATTTTTTTCAAGCAAGTATATTTTTTAGATTGATGAAATTTTCATAGATATTCAAGAATTAAAAATGAATATCACTAGTATAGATTATAAGGCTAGAAATCATAAGCAAGTCACTTTAAATAGGAAATTTTCCTAAAATACCTTAAATAGTTTATTTAGGAGTCAAAGTTGTGATTTATTTAGGAATTGAAGTTATAATTTATTTAGGGGATATAATGAAGGTTGTTAAGAATCATAGCAAATGCTTGTCTTAAGAATATTCAACATAGCAAATTATTTGTAATGAAGAATTCCTTCCAAAGAAAAATCTTTGATGCTTATGTAAGACTAGTCCTTCATCCATCCAATGACAAAGAAATTAAATTCAATTGTAGTAGTTTTTAGAAATGTGAATGCCAAGTCACCTCAAAACTAACTAAAATTGCTTAAGCAAGTATCATCTACTTGCTAGCCTCTAGAGAAATTAATTTTAGTATTGTTGCATCCATTAACTCTTACTTTGAATTATGATTCTTCTTGAAAAGCACAAAAAAGATTGATAAAATCTTTTCCAATTTGATGAATTTGTGTTACTAATAGTCTCTTTTGTAATCAAGACATATGAATAGTTAGAATATTATTAAAAGCATGTAGATCTATCTTAACAAGCCAATGAAGTAACATGGATATCAATTCATCAATGGAATTGTTGTCCAAGTCTTGCTCCACAATAACCTCATGAATGTCATTTGTTGTTTGTACAAACATCTTCGTGACAATAATAATTAGAGACAACAACATTTTCTTCCATACTTATTATTGTTTGAACAACCCAAATGTTGAAACCATCTATGCACAAGCATTTATCAACATACGTCATAACAAACACGCTACAAACTTTGAAATTTGATATGTAAATTTTGACAACATTTGCATCCAATAATGGTCCAACTATTCTTGTTATTTTGCAATATATATTAATAAAATCTAACAGCTTTGTATGATGTTGAGATAGCAATATGATTATATCACTATAATCCTTAAAGAGAGTTGAACACAATCTTAGACTTATGAGCTAAGGTATGAATAGTAAAAAGAAACATCCACCAACAACTGTATGGAGTGCAAGAAGGATTCTTTACTTTGAGATGATTTTGGAGAGGTATGATATTGTTGGTCAACCAAGCACAATACAAATCCATCAAAAACTTTGGGATAAGACAAACTCATACTTAAGACCAAATTTTGTTGGCATTGCATGTGTCGAATCATTCTTGTCAATAATATTTTTGAATAGTACTAATCATCAAGCACATCCTTGAAAACACATTACATCACCAAATTGAATTGATGCAGTCTACACCAAATTCTACCAAACTCTAATTCCTTGCAATCATTACAAGTATCAATTAGGCCCCACACAATAATAGTCTTATTTAGGGAATATGACCGGCTTTTATTTAAGGAAATTAGGGGAATTATGATAAAGCCATGAAACCATTAAAAGTCATGTCAAATGTAACAAAACTACTAAAAACATGCATGAACCATTAGAAACATGAGGTGTACCTAAATCTTGATTGTTCCGAAAACAACAATTAGGTCAACTAAACAAGCAAGAGTTTGAAAGAAGTGTAAATCCCATTTCCACATCACACTTGTCTAGAAAGATAAACGTGTTACAAGAAGAAGCCATACAATCCAGAAGCGACGTCATGGCAGGTTCTGCTATTCCAATTTCGACATGGAAACAAAATCGAAATTTCTGAACCGCCAATTATCTTTACAAGAGCAGATCTCCTTCGAAAAAAAATTTACAAAACCAAATGTTTTGTTCAAAATTCGTGCTAAGCAGGGTTTGCACCCGCCGTAGATACATTTCGAAAATTTACGCTGAGTGCCAGAGTAGGAGTGCAACCAGCATATGTGATACTCAAATATCAACCTGACACTTGGTTGCACCAACTACCTGGTCTCACTCGTGTAAGAATCTCAATACTAGGAAAATCTAAATTTCACTATACAAGGCTTAGTTAAGTCTTTAATTTCTAATCGCTGGAGGGTTGACCCACCGTGTTAAGTTTGCAAGTAACCATTGCACAGGTTCACAACATCCCAAGCTACCTGAAGAAGCTTCGATCGGCCTTCCCTGCACCTGAACATCCCGAAAAAAGGATTATTGAAAGCATACAACAAGGATATGATTATCAAAACCTCTGAACCACAAAGCTCAAGCACGGAGGTCCCTAATGTGAAAGCTTTTGACTGCAGAACATGGATAAGCAACTTCTGATAAAAATTAGAACGTGTCGGAAAAGTAGGAGCGATACAGTCGAGTCTTCGGTAGTGCAAACCGTCGGAAAAGAAAAACCGATCTAAACGTTAATTTCTTTAATCAATGGTTGATGTTTAAAACTAAGGTGGTCCTAATATGACACACGAAATCACATGGTTCTAAGATGCTCCAATTTGGTGAGCATTAACTGTGTTAATCCTCTAAATGTCTATTTTACTTTTTACAACTACAGTAAATTGACTGTACGAACAGTAAGTACAAAACAGAGCAAAAAACTTTTCGTAGCAGTCTAACTGTAGAATGATAGTCCCTAGCTTCTTGCTAACAGAGGCAAACTTGTACGTTGGGTACCAAGACACTTACCTCTCTTTTGTGGTACGGTGTGAGTTCTACTCGCTCGGATGATTCAGAACACTTCGCAGCATCCGTGGTGCCGTCGACTTTGCCTACCAAACAAGAATCTTCCACATCCTTGATTAACACACCAGAGCTTCTGGGTAGCTCAGATTCTGCTGCATTAATGGGTGACACCAGAGTATCCCCCTCAACTGCGGTTCGAGGCTCTGTATTGTCAACTGAAAAGGGAGAATCCACTTCGCTTTGGCCATCCAGCAAACGCTGATGTTTTTCCGCGTCCCTACTTGTGAGTTGCTCTTGTGCTTGCAAGCTCGAATCTGCTGAAGAGGAGTCACCTGTAAGTGGGACCTCTCCAGATTGATTCTTGTCTCCAAACCTATCCCCACGTAATTCTGCTTCCACTTCTTTGGTATACATTTCTAAAGTTACATCCTTTAACCCCGCTTCAATCGGCAGGCCCGAGTCAACCGAGCATGGAGTATCCCTTGGAAGGGGAGCCTCATCAGCTTGATGATCCTTCACTTCATCTCTTTCCAAGCGTTTGGAATTTTTGTCTGCAGTTAGAACTTCAACTAGAGGCTGTAGAACAGCAATGCCGTTGCTCGCGTCATGTTCTTGTGCAAGAATCTTCTGCTCTACTTTCCCTAGTTTAGCTATCTCCTTAGACTGTGCAATCTCAAGCAGCTGGTTCAATTCATGTTGCTCTGGTTCAGGTACGCCAGTGCTGACGGGAGAGTCCTGACCTTCTTTGGAAATATTTTCGTGAACTTCAGAGGAGCTCTCAGCGTGATCAGTTTGCTCATGGGCTGAAAGACTAGCGGAAGGATCTTCTATTTCTTTCAAGTTACTGACATTTCCGTCCTCAAAAACTTCTTCATCACTAATGGAGTGACCAAAACTGTAAGGATTCTCAGAATAACTCTTCTCTGAAGCTTTATCTGGAGTCGTAGGTTCAATGCCTTGTTCATCTTCTTCAAGATTCTGATCAGGAGCATGAGGTTCACTGACCTGCTCTTTCACCGTGGGTACCTCAGACTCAAGCTCTTTCGGTTTGGCAACCTGATGATACTCGTTCTCCGATTGTCCTGGCGTCTGGTGTTCCAGCTTCCGTACCTTAGTATCAGCTTCTTCATCTTCTGATGAACCAGGATTGACGAATTCATTAATCAAAGACACATTTGCAGGACTGGAAATAAAGAAGTAAAACCTTTCATAACAACCTAACAAGATGATCACATTACCTTTAGATTGCTCTTGTTCAAGGTCCTTCGTATTAGAACCCCCGTTTTTGTCTTTCTCTTGATCCTTGGATGGAGCCGATTCAACTGCCTGGTCCTCGACTCCAGAGAAGAGATCATATTTATCTTCTTCTTGGTCGTCTGATGAAGCAGGTTCAATGGCACTAGTGGCCTGATCCTCAGATCCTTTCACTTCAAGAGAACCGATATTTGCAATCAATTCATGGTAATCGTCGTCTCGAGTTTCCACCGAAGCGACTTCCGCAAAGCTACTTTCCTGGCTATCCTCTCCATGCGACGGAATTACCACAATACTACCCAGTCTCTCTTCGTCGTCGGATTTCTTCAGATATGCTTCAGGACTGTAACTGCTTCTGCTACTGCCGCTGCTGCTGCTACTAGAGCTTGAGCTGCTATGCGAATTTTCTCTAGATTTCACACTCTTAGCATCGTCTTCCTTGTCAGAAACTGACGAATCGGAAAGTAGCTCATCAACATGTGGCATTTGCTGTCCTCGCTCTTGTCCATAGTCAGATGCCGCAACATCACGAGCCTCACCGACGTCCTCCGGAGAAGAGAAATTGTCTGCATTCTCCCCGGAAATAGTCTCCCAATCCACGATCTTGTCGTGGCCTCGTGAATCGCCATAGCTGTCCTCGGCAGTAGCGTGAAAGCCACCCTTGGCGGTCGTTGAGGTCGGCGTGCCAACATCAAAGTCCGACACACGAACCCATTCCTCCGTCTGGAACGTTTGGTCCGTTGGTCTTTCGTTACTTCCAGTGGCCAAGGACAATCCTGAGTTCACGTCATCAAACGTTTTCGGACTGGTCCCTTCATCTGATGCATGAGAACCTGACACACTCTCCTTGTCTGTTGCAGACAAATTAAAGTCAGTTGACAGAACGTTACGATGAGAATAAAAGTATCTATCTACCAACGAACGTTTTTTCACCAGAAACGTAACCACCTTCAAAGTTTCGCCCAAACATTTCAGGTCATCACTGAATTTGTGCAAATCACGCTTAAAATACTCCGGGATATAATCCTCACTACGGGAGCCTCAAAACCTGACTACGGGAAGTAAAGAATATACACACAATTTTGAAAAGAACAAGGCATCCAAAAACATGAAAGGTGAAGGATAATCTTCTCCAAGATAAAATAAATAAATCATTAGAAAAAATGAAATAAAATCTTTATGTCAGAAACCTGTCCACAACAACGGTACAAAAAAAAAAAAAAAAAAAAAAAAAAGTGCTCAGTTGGAAATATTCACATGATATCTCTATTCACAAGCAGCAGATCTACCTACAGAGATAGTCCCCAAATCTCCGACATTAAGGCTGGTTACATGTGCGCAACTGTATGAGACGTTTAATTGAGACAGAACAGGGCAGGAATCGGACTTTCGTGAAAGATGGAACTAGTAACTATGCGACAGGCACCAGGCCTGCGTATCTATTACATAGATCTATCACTCCAAGTGCACGAGCAGTAGAGCACACTACAACTAAAATTACGATGCTCATCACTTCCAGCATCTCCAGGCAGCACTGAATGCCGGGCGAACATAGTTTCCTATGCCTGTTCGCAGCACCTTGGCACAAGAACCGACACACCATTCAAAGATACAGCCGACATAGGAAATCCAACCCCAAAAGACGCCTCGTAACTGACCATCGACACGATTAACAGTTACGAGCCAAACAATCCTACTTCTCTCCAAAAACATACGGCCAAAAGACACTATAACTTACACAAACTACCGCTACACCATTGACAGCGTCACCCGGCAACCGAAGTTTTGCGACAGCAGAGAAAACACTGTTACTGTTGTGTCTATCTACTATTGCATCACGTTGAAAGCATGTGACCGTCCATCCGGACACGAATACTTCCATTACAAAGGCAGAACTTCTAAATCGCAGTATCTGCAGTTAGGATTTTGCAAAAATTCAAAGCTACCACTGCATTAAGTGGCAGATGAGCATTAACATACAAATAAGAAATGCTTGCTACAGGTATAGAGAGCACAGTGCAACGATATCTTAGTACCACGGTTGCATCGCTTCAATGTAACTGCCTTTCTTGCAGCTCTGAGTACACAAAACAGGCGAGGTAGACATAAAAACTATAAAAATAAAATAAAAAATAAAATAAAAATAAAAAACGAGAATGCAAAAAACGAGCACACATGCGTCGTTAGTAAAATGTGGCGCGTGTCAGAAAAAAAAAAACCACGAGCAGACAGGGCGTAGACAATTCGGATAGTGCGAATCCAACTACGAATGCAACAGCTCCACTGCAATCTCTTCACAAGTCGAGACTTTGCGCAAGCCAAGCGAGGGAAAACGGAACAGTGCTGTAGTGCCAACCTAGAGATGTCCTCGCTCCAATGCTTCTCCTCCTGGCAGCAAGCCTCTTCTTCGGCCCTGAAGGCATGCTGGAAAAATTGAATCAATTAAACCTGAAGAGCTCTGCACTCTCATCAAATCTGGTTGCCAAAAAACCAGGCTCCAAGTCTTCGAGGGACCAGACGCACGGGCAACGAAGAGGATCGCAACGGAGGTGAGGTCTTCGATGAGGAAGAAGAAAGGCCTCGAGCCTCGCACCGTGCCTAATCCGATTCGGCCCTGACCTACATCCGAACCTCAGATTCTCTTCCTCGGTTTGTGGCTCGTAGAAGAGCAGCAAATAGCCGCAGCACTTTCTAACGATTGTTTTTTAATTCCGGTCACGTCTTTTCAGGTCATCTGTCCTTTCCTCTTAATCCCCACATGCAATTTGTCCATTTTGTCACGTACGCTTGGATTGAAATGTTGCTTCCTAACCCTACTCCAAACTACTAACTCTAAACTCCACACTCCACGAAGCGGAGCTGAAATGCACAAAATCTCTCCTACTCCGATTTAGTTTTAATACACTTCACAACCAAATACAATCCCATCTATGCATTCAGTATTTTTAGTGAACTCGGGTCTTCTGTTGCTTCACTTTATCTCAAACTCAACACCTCACTGCCTAAAAAGCTCATGTTAAAACAGGACAAGTCAGAAGTGATGAGCTCATCCACTCCGAATATACAATGGTATGGGTCCCAACCGCCACATTTGTGTTGCATTGCAACTCTAAAATAAAACATCTACAATATCCTAGAAAACTAGCCACGTTCCACTAAAAATATTTTGGTCGAAGAAAAAGGGATAAAAACGCACAAAATATATATGCAGAGATTTATTCGTGGGATGGCAAATGTGCTCCTCTTTTCTTCGAAATAAAAGTAGTAGTAACTATCAACGAGTTTCAAAACAAACATAGTTCATGTAAATATCAGTCAATGTACGCATCACTGTAGTGCCGGATTTTGTTTTTTTTTTTAACTGACGGAGAGAAATGAATGTTAATCTCCGAATAAATTGCATTCCGTGTAGTCACAAGTATGTTACGATAGTGGGGTCACTTTGACGTCCCAGTCTCGGCTGAAGGGGTTTGCCAAACCCTGTTCTCTCACCTTCCCCAGTGTCATGCATCAAACCTCTCCACCCCTCTCCCTCCCCGTGGCTTGGAGCATTGGCGGACCTATTGAGGCTAGAGGTGACGGACACCCTCGCGTGATCTCAGGAACCACGTGTCTCCAGACGGGAGTAAATTTAGAATAGAACCCCGCCACTGCTGGAGGACATTCTTCTATTGGAGGATTGAGTTGGCAAATTTTAGTTCACAAGTTCGGAGCAGCATAATTCTGGATGCAGAACTCGCAGACCACAGCCTTCATTGGTGCAACCTATCCAGTGCTCCCTGCGTTCGCCAACAGATGTACTGGAGTCTGCTCTTTCGGCAACGGAACTTATCTTTCCCGGAGGTTATCAGGCCCAGGACGATGAGATTAGTGGACACCACTGTCACCGAGCGGGAACTCTAACTCGTAGATCTGACTTCAAATTTGCAAATTCAAATTGGATGTACCTCAGCTGTGTAGATAAGTGAACGACATTAAGTTTCGAGACGAAAAGATATACAACAATCATTATTCTCCCATGAAAAGAAGCACGAGCCATCCACGCTGAACAGCTCCACGGAGACATCAATTGGGCACTGGAAGATCAACTTCTGTTTCATGTACATCTCCATGAAATTGATTCCGGATGGAAAAGCTCTTAAGGTCACGAAGGGTTAGATCCAGATTCGGTGATAAACATGCAAAAGCTGCTCACCTCTCGCTCGGCATCCGTGGCGCCAAAATTGGCGCCAATTGCCAAAGGCAGCAAGGGGCTCCTCCGTGTCTAGGTAATAAATGAGCACTACCCTTAGGTGGAACGGAAAGTTGACCTTCCCCGGCTATTTACGCACAAGCTCCCTGCAAATTTCTTACACCAATTAGGCTTAGAATAGATTATCTCCCAAAACGGGCCCACTCTAAACACCCCCATCGATTCCTGTCGCTTGTTGGCAAGTTTAGAAGCTGCGGCCCTTCATAACTTGAGCCGAACGCCCCACCCCTGCGAAAGTCTCTTCGGCGTGTAAACACCAACCAAAAACTCGAGGATCTTTCAAACCCCATCTGACCTAATTCGAATTCCCCCCTTTCCCATGCGTTGGACTGAAAATTTGGGAAGGTGCATTTGGAGGAGAAGCTTCTGAGAAGTTCCCAGACCTGCACCATTCAGGGAGGGAATCCGGAGAGGATGTGAGATTCCTCCACCAGGTCTCCTTTCGCCTCTCATTGGCTGCCGTAGCCAGCTGGCGTGGGAGTCCTTTGATGCCTGACGTGGCATAGCATCTGATTGTCCCTTTGGCCATGATCGGAAGTTATCGTCCCGGGGCACGCCACTCAATGGATGCACCCCAACGTTCCCATCCCTGTTCCCAGTTCTCCAAGAACAATGTTGTCTAGGTTTTTCAAAGGATGGGGATTCGGGTTTAGAACTTGGGAGAAACAATTCGAAGGCCATTCGTGTATATGTATATATATATATATATATATATATGTGTGTGTGTGTGTGTGTGTGTGTGTTCATTTATTTGTTCATACCAGTATGGGTTCTGTATGCAGTGTTCAGTGTGTGATTGGAAAAAGGTGGACTCAAATAAGACATTCAACTTTTTGTGCCACTGACCACGCACAGATAAGGTGCCTTACCCAAAGTTGAACGTTGTCTCCATTTTTTATTTTGTATTATACTGATGTTGAAGTCTCCTTTTTTGCTTTCTAGGCTTGTGAGAGAATAGAAAAGAAAATAAAATACAAAAGCTATTTTTTTTTACTAATCCACTGTTTATGGACAAATGATTCCAGGGGTAATGTAAATTGCTATCTGATCAAACAATGTAACATTTTTTCTACTTATTTTCTTAAACACATATTATTGTTGAATATGAAAATAAAAATATTAAAAGTCAAGCATATTATTTTATAAAGCGTTTTAATTTTCATGAATTATTTTTTATGCTTTTTTGTAATTTTCAATCACAATATATATATATATATATATATATATAGAAGCTACATCTTAATACCAAAAAAAGTCTCATTTTTCAAAACGTCAATTTCTTGTTCATGTGAAAATCTATGAGGCTTTTTCATTGACTGTTGATAAATCTAAAAATCATCTCATATAATTTTTGTGGAGTAAATGATCTACCCAAAGTTCCAAAATTACTGTGCATATATACAAAGCATTTCTCTAAAATCCAATATTCTTCTTATTCAAGAGCATAAACTATATGGCTCTGGAACATAAGATCTATGAAGGATTGTATGACCAAATGTAAGTTTATTATTATTATTATTATTTTTAGTTTATTTTAGAAGCTACACTTGACTATTTAAACAATTCTAACCATGCATGTATTGGTGGTGTTTGTATATTTGCTTATCTTTCAATAAAAATTTAATTTTAAATATTAAATTTCTTTTATACAAATGGATTCTTGAATCACCTATAATAGTATGATTAGAAACTCTATAAACATTGTTAATTTGTATGCCTCCAACAAATATTAAAAATATAGTTAGATATGATTAGATATAGTAGAACTACTACCTCCTAATACCTCTAATATCATTAGTGGTAACTATAACATGGTAGAATATGCAAGAGATAAAATCTCTTTATGAGGAGGAACTCTCACAAGGAATGAAGAAAATAATTGGAATTTTTGAAAATTGCACTTCTTCTTTATTGATGCTTTCAACACGGCCATCATACAATATTATTCTAGAGATAATAAAAGAGACGAGGTACAAGTTCTTGCTAAATTAGATAGAGTTTATATAAGTTATTCTTTATTAAAAATTGATAAAATTCAAGGCTATTACAACAAAGGTGATTGTGCACTTTCAGATCACCTCCTCATTGAAATTAAATTTTAACTTTTAAAAAATACAAATTTAGATCTTTTTTATTTAAAGATGATTGAGCACTTTCAAACCATCTCCTAATCATGATTTTTATTTTTATTTTTATTTAGACGATCCTCAAGTTTTTTTAACAAATTATTAAAATTTGGTCTCAATACAACAGTAGAAGATTCTTTATTTAATATATAGATTTTATTTTTATATTTTATATTTTTTTTAACCAATCTTTTCATAAAGAACAAGCATTCATGCATGCAAGACAACACATTCAATTTTGCAGCCAATTACAAGAAGCACACCCTACTCTTCAATCAAATCTTAAAGATATTGGCCCTCCACCTTGTATTAAAAAACTAAAATTAAAAATTAAAAAATCAATATTTCTCCACTAATTTGAAGATTGGCAAGAAGAAAAGAAGACATTATGTACTTGGCTTAAATAGAGACAAAGTGTAGACAGCTTCGACAAAGTTTTTATGTTGTAGTTTTAAATTATTAACTTTAATCCATTATAATGAAATTCTAAAATTTCCATGGTGAGCTTCAAAGTGATATTTAAGATTTGAAACACATTTGCTTTAATATCTACTATAGAATTTATAAAAAGCTCAAGGATTGGATGCCACAACTATCATGCTAAATAATATTCTATGCAAGTTTACAAAGTATACAAACAAGGATTTATCTAAGCCATTCAATGTGTATGAAATTGAAAACTTTATTAAGGAGATGGCTAAAGGCAAAGCACCTTGTCTAAAAAGTTGTGTGTGTTAAAATTTTCAAGGCTTTCCAAAGCATCAGTAAGTTATTAACTAATATATTAATGAAACCACTAGCACTGTTACAAGAGAGGAAATAAATGTTTTCTATTTGGTAGTTATCATTAAGAAATTTGACTGGCTATAGTGGTATGGAGATTAGTTGGTCCAAATTTGCAACATATTGGAAAATTTTAAAATCATACAAATTCACTTTTTTATTCTTGATAGTTTGCCTCTTTTCAGAACTATAATGCATATGAATACATTGAACAAATTCAATGTTATTAGCTGAATTTCCTTGTGCCTATGTTCAATTTTGAAAAACAACTCATCCAAATTTTACGATGTGTTTTTCTTTTCTTTTTCTTTTGAATTGGTAAAATTGAAAGAATAATTTTTTAAACTAAATCTCAAAAAGAACACCTATATTATATAAATTAAATGGTTTCTATTCGGAGGTCAATATTTATTTGGTTCAGATTTAAATTCACTCAAATCTTAAACCACATTAGATTTTATTCTTGGAGGGTTGTTTTGAG